CGGACCTCGAGACCTCGCCCTTCTCCAGCCCGGGTTGGGGTGGCCGCCTGCTACTTGCCAGCCCCCTCGGGCCGTGGCCCCCAAGCCCGCGGTGGCCAGGGACCGCAGCCTTGAAAAGGTTCATTTCTTATTTAGCAATAAAAGCCTTTTGTTTTTGTTTTTGTTTTTGCAATCAGCGGGTTCCTCTACCTCCTGGCAGAACAGCGCCCTCGGGGGTCGCCCTGGGCTGGATACTTCTCTGGCGGCTACTAGGCTGCACGGAGTTTCGAACCAGACCTTGGCTCAGTAAGGAGAGGGGCCCAAACCGAGGCTGGGTGGTCCCTTGCAGTCGCACGCGGGTGGGGCGCCTGTGGGGCCGCGCCAGGCAGGAGCACCTGGCAGGCTGGCTGGGGGGGTGCGTGGATCCTCGGCATTCCGAGTCTCGTACACCCTGTGAAAGAAGCACATTCGATACTGTGATTTCATATTTGGAGGAGAACAAAAAGATCTATTGTTCAGACGGTCACACGGCCAAAGGAGAGCTAGCCGCCTCCTGCTCACCTGGAGGAGAGACGCGAGGGCCCCACTGTCCCTGGGACTCTCCGAGAGGGTTGAGGAGGACTCGGAATGAGCGTGGAAGGGAGTAAACGCTGTTGAGAAGCTTTGTTCTCGGAGAGGGGAAAGAGGGTCTTGTCCAGCTCAAAAAACCCTACTAAGAGGTTCTCCATCCCTCCCCATGAGGTGGCAGCGAGACGGGAGACTAAGAAAGCAAAATTCAGCCAGGTGTGGTGGTGCAATTCTGTGGTCTCGCTACCAAGGGGGCTGAGGTAGGAAGATTGCAAAGGGCCAGCCTGGGCAATTTATTTAGTTAGATCCTGTCTCAAAATTAAAAATTGTAAAAAAAGGGCTGAGGCTCAGTGTGAAATCCTGGGTTCAGTCCCCGGTACGGTACCGAAAAAGGAGGGCACGGTGATTGAGTCAGGTGTGGTGGTATAGGCTTCTAATCTGTTACTGAAGAGGCTGAGGTAGGAGGATCCCAAATTGGAGGCCCGCCTGGGTAATTTATCCAGATGGTATCTCAAAATTTGAAAACTACAGGGCTGTAGTGAGGCTTGTCATTTGCTAGGTTCAATCTCCAGTACCAGAAAAAAAAAAAAAAATCAGTATTCAGAGGATTTGCTTGAGAGCTTTCTGATGTGTGAGGTGAGAAGGGAGACTGTACCATGATGGTAAACCTTTTAGAGCTGTTGAGTTTTTTGTTTTTTGGGTTTGGGGTTTTTTTGAGACAGAGTCTCACTCAGCAATTCAGCCTGGCCTTGAACTAAGGGAGCCTCCTGCCTCAGCCTCCCAAGTGCTGGGATTATAGGCATGTGCCACTACACCTGGCACCTTTTTGAGCTTTCAATGAAACAAGCAGCTGTGTACTGCAGTTTCGCCACCAGTGAGGGGACCCTATTTTTTCAGCTTTGGCCGTTGATTGAATGGTGCTGCCATTTACCAAAATCGGTTCTCGGGGAGCTGATGGCTTCCCTTTGGAGCAGGCTGACTCTCGCAAACCTTGGGACATTCCGGTAGGGACACCCTGGAAGTCAGAGGGCAGAGGCAGAGACCTGGCAAACTTGAGTGGTTGGCATCCAGACCGCAATCGAAACCAAGGGAATGATGAGGTCAGAGTAGAACCCTAAAAGCAAAGTGTATCAAGGAGGTGGGCGTTGGCCACAGTGTCCAAGGCTATAGATGGTCAGGCAGCTGGGCGTAGTGACCCACACCTGTGATCCCAGTACTTGGCAGGCTGAGGCAGGAAGGTTGAGAGAGATTGAGTCCAGCCTGAATTACATAGGGAGACCCTGTCTCTAAAAAACAGAAAAAGTCTCACAAGCACAAGGACCCAAGTTTGATCCCTGGTACCAAAAGAAAAAGAAAAGAGAAAAAAAAGGTCCCATGGTAGCTAAACTAGATTTTTTTTTTTTTTTTTTTTTTTTTGAGGCAGGGTCTTCCTATGTAGTGCAGGCTGGCCTTGGAACTCTCATCGATCCTCCTGCCTCAGCTTCCCAAGTGCTGGGATTATGGGCATGCACCACCACACCCAGTTTAAATGTTTTAGGAAGACACTTAACTCCAGAAAAATTCTCCTGGTTAAGGAATGCCAGCGTGTTATCACCCTGATAACCCAAGGGAGAGGAAGTGGATTGCTATTAATAGTAAGTGTGCCCGCAACCTGAGTCACTCCTGTTTAAAACCCAGGAAAGCCGGGTGAGCAGCTCACCCTCAGGGAACCACTGATCCAGTTGTCTGCATGGTGAGGACTGGCGGGTTAGCCGGCTCTTTGTGTGTGCAGGGCTTCTGCAGGTCCTGTGTGTCCCTGCCCGGATGTCCTGACCCTCGCCAAATGCAACATGGTACAACAAAACAAATAGGGAGACTCTAAAAATGTATGACACCAAAGATCCATTGTCACCCCCATTGTCAGCCCATTGTGCTTGCCACTTTCTGAAGCAGCTCTGCAAGTCCTCTTTCATGAGTGTCATTAATTGCATTGTCATGGTTGCCTTGATGTCCTGAATAGGTTCATTTCCCTTTCATTGTCATTTTGACTTTGGGGAAGAGCCAGAAGTCCTCTGGTGCCAGATCTGGTGAATAAGGTGGAGGAGGACACAGGGTCATATTTTTTAAAGTCTGCCTTTCCATTGGGTGGCGCTCAGCAACAGCATTCACTGTATTTTTGATCACACCTCGTAAAGACACTCAGGAATGCTGGGTGTGGTGGGACATGGCTGTGATCCTAGCCCTTGGGAGACTGAGGCATGAGGATGGCTGTGAGCTGCAGGCCAGCCTGGTCTACATAATGAGACCCCATCTAAAGAAACTGAAAGAGGAAGAGAGGGGAGAGAAAGAGAGAGAAGACAGGCAGACAGACACACGAGAGGGATCTTCCAGAAGTGCTTCAGAAAGTGGCAAAAAAACGATAGGATCAGTGTGTCTGAAGTGAGGTAAATTTTTTTTTTTTTGGTACTGGGGATCGAGCTCGGGTCCTTGCGCTTGTGAGGCAGGCAGTGGAACCACTGAGCTAAATCCCTGGCCCAAGGAGAAGCATTTTGAGGGATCCATGGCAATGTTTCTTTTACTGTAATAATTTTTGTTTTGTTTTGAGACAGGCTGTCACTGTGTAGCCCAGGCTGGCCTTGAACTCATGACAATCCTCCTGTCTCAGCCTCCCAAGTGCTGGGATTACAAGCATGAGCCACCAGCCCAGCTAATTTTTTATTTTTATTTAAACATTCATTTTTTTTTTTTAAATCACATCTCATATACTCCAAATAGAAGCTATCAGCTTCCCCCAGAAGCCTGGGCTTCTAGCTTGGTAAAGGGGCCACCATACATTCAGAGGCCCAGCCCTCTTCTAGCCAGGGGAAGGAGACAGGAGGACAGAAAATAAATAAGCAGGCATGGTGAGCTCAGGGATAGGTCCTAACAAGGGGGGTGGCGCAGGGTACTGGCTGAGCCCCTGAAGAGGGGAGAGGGGAGGCTCCTGCTCTCTACACACCTCCTCCTGGCCTCAGAGTCCACCCTAAACCGGCTTCCCAATTCTCACAGGTCTCGGTAGGAGCAGGGTGCATGCAGACCATAAGCTGGACAGGGTCCTGGGCGAGGAAGTCCTTAAATAGAGTAAGGCGTTTGTTGTCCAAAAAGTGTGCCCCAAACGAGGCTTGATGGTGCACACCTATCATCCCAGCACTCCGGGGGGCTGAAGCAGAAGGATAGAAAATTTGAGCCCAGGGCCAGGGATTTGGCTCAGTGCTTCTGGCACCTGCCTTGCAAGTGCAAGGGCCTGAGTTCCATCCCTGGTACCAAAAAAAAAGAAAGAAAGAAAGAAAGAAAAAGAAAATTTAGGATTTCGGTGCTCACCCCAGGGCTGCACGCTGCCATCTGCAGTGGCTTTGCTCCTTGTCACCCTTCCCCACCCGCACACCTCCCCAGGCCAGGCTCGGGAAGCCCATCCTGAGGTCTCTGTGTCTTCGGCTCCCAGCACAGGCTGCAGGGGACACTGGTCAGGATGTCTGTGGAATGGGGCGGCACGACGGAGACCCGATCCGAGCTAGGCACATGTTGAGGGCCCCGTCCTTCAGCCTATATTCTGCCTGGGGACATGGCTTGATGGTGAGAAAGTCCCTGGGTTTCTGCAAAATTCACTGCCCTGGACCTGCACCTGCCAAGCTGGGGCCCTGTCCCACCCCACCCGCTGTGCCACAGGCCGCCCAGGTCTGGCCATTCCTGTTTGAGCTCTTCCTCCTCCTTCCTCCTCCTCAGACTGAAGCCAAATGCTTTCTCAAACAAACAGCACTCACTGTGAGTGCCTCAAGGTATGCGGCAGGCCCGGAAGGACAGACAGTACCTTTCTCTCTCCTTCTCCTCCCACCAGGGCTCCAGGAAAGGTCACCATGCCAAGACAGGGCCACGCCACAGAGCTGTAAGAAACCAGCAAGAGGCAGGCATGGTGGTGCACGCCATATTCCCAACACTCAGGAGGCTGAGGCAGGAAGATCGCCGCAAATTTGAGGCCTGCCTGGGCTATACAGTGAGTTCAGGGCCAGCCCGAACTATATAGCGAGTCTCAAAAAGCAATAACAAAACCCCTCAGGCTCCTGGCTGCTAAGTGCAGATTTTAGGTCCCACTAGGTCTCTCCTAACCCATAGACTCCTACAGATGCAGGGCCACCAGTGCCTCTCCTTGAAGGGCCACCTCCTTCTGCACACACTTCCTGTCCCCAGAGCGCTGAATGCTGGGCCCCTGGGTCTGCACCTCCCCTTCTGGGCACATTCCAAGGCCACTTCGGGGCTCAGCTGACATCCACTCATCTACACCATGCCACAGCCCTTGTCCTGCTGGCCCACACTCACCTCCGAGCTTGTTCTTCTCTTCAGCTGGGTCTGGGAGGGGCCCAAGCCCGCTGTTAACCTCCACATGCCCCAAGTCCAGCCCCAAACTGGTGCTTAGCAAGTGAGAAACAAGGCTCTCAGCTCTAGTGAGGTTTGGAGCAGTTCAGTGTCATTAAGAAGCAGTAGAAGGGTCTGCAGATTTGGCTCAGTGGTGCTGCCGCCTGCCTCACACGGAGTCCTGAGTTCGATCTCCTGTAACAAAAATAAAAATAAAACAATAACAACGACAACAAAAAAGCAGTAGAGCAGGGCATGGTGGGTTACGCCTGTAATTCCAGCACTCAGTAGGCTGAGACAGGAGGATCCCTGTGAGTTTGAGGCCAGTCTGAGCTACATATTGAAACCACGTTTCAAGCAAAACAAAACAAAACACTCAGAAGCAGTAGATTGGGCCAGGCTTGTTTGGTGAAAGCCTACAATCCCAGCACTCAAGAGCCCGAGGCAGGAGACTCATGACAAGTTTGAGGCCAGCCTGGGCTACACAGTGAATCTAAGGCCAGTCTAAGACCCTGTCTCAAAAACAAAATAAAACAAAACCAACAAACAAAAAATAAGAAACGAGAGAAAGAAAACGAAACTAGACCCTGGACCCTCGCCTAACGTCACATACCAAATTTACTCAAAATGAATGATAAAAGTAGTCAACCTGAGCACTTAGAATACGTAGGCAGAAGCTACATTGGATTTGACAATAATTTCTTTTCTTTTTGGTTCTGGGGATCAAACAGGCAGCAAAACCACTGAGCTAAATCCCTGGCCCTCGGATTTGACAATAATTTCTTGATATGACATCAACAGCATAACTGACAAAAGAAAAACTAAAGCAAGTTGGACTGGGTAACAACAAACATCTGTGCATCAAAGAACAACCTGGTCATAGTTCAAAGGGCACCGTGGAATAGGAGGGTTCGCCACAAGTCATATCTGATCAGGAATTCATATCTAGAACACACAGAGATCTTTCAAAGCTAACAGGCATGGTGGTGCATGCCTACAAGCACTCAAGAGGCTGAGGCAGGAGGATTGCTGCAAGTTTGTGGCCAGCCTGAGCTACACAGTGAGTTCAGAACCAGCCTGGGCTACATAGTGAGACCCTGTCTCAACAAAACAAAACAAAATGGTCCTATTAAGAATAGGCAAGTGGTCTGGGGACTTAGCTCAGTGGTGCCACCACCTGCCTTGCAAGCACAAGGTAGGTCCGGAGTTCAAACCCCGTAAAAAAAAAAAAAAAAAAAAAATAGGCAAAAGCCTTCTACCACTGAACTCCAGCCCCTGGGCAAAGGACTCAAAGAAAATGTACAAGTGGCCAACAGGCATATGAGAAGATACTGGACATCACAGGTAATTGGAAACCAAGAAAGCACGATGATAGTGTGGATGGGATATGGTGGCACAAGTTTGCAAATGCAGCACTTGGGAGGCTGAGGCAGGAGGATCATGAATTCAAGGTCACTCTGGACAATTTTTTTTGTTTGTTTTTTTGGTACCGGGGATTGAACTCAGGTCCTTGCACTTGCAAGGCAGGCAGCAGAACCACTGAGCTAAATCCCTGGCCCTGACGCTAGACAATTTAATGAGACCATAGCAAAGAAAGACAGAAAGAAGGAAAGAGAGAGAGAGAGAGAGAGAGGGAGGGAGGAAGGAAGAAAAGAAAGAGAAAAGGATTGAAAGGAAGGGAGGGAGGGAGGGAGGGGGGCCAGGGATTTAGCTCAGTGGTGCCATGCCTGCCTGGCAAGAGCAACACCCTGAGTTCGATTCTTGGTACCAAAAAACTAAAAACCAAATTAAAGATTTTACAAAATGGAAGAGAGAAGAGGGAGGGAGGGGGAGAGGGGAGAAGAGGCAAAAAGAAAAGAAACCACAATTAAGACTGGAAATACAGCTCAATGAGCTGCCACGTCATATCCAATGCAATCGTTACTTTTTTTTTTTTTCCTGAGACAGAGTCTATGTAGCCCAGGCTGGCCTTGTAGTCCTGCCTCAGCCTCCCAAGTGCTGAGATTACAGATGTGTGCAACCATGTCTGATTCGTTTCCTTTTTTTTTTTTTTGGTTTTTTGAGACAGGGTCTCACTATGTAGTTGAGACTGACCTGGAACTCACTATGTAGCCCAGGCTGGTCTCAAACTCACAGCGATCCTCCTGCCTCAGCCTCCCAAGTGCTGGGATTACAGGCATGCGCCACCATGCCCGGCTTCGTTACTATTTTTTAAGTACACAAAGAAATAAGTGGGAATGGGAATGTGGAAACGTTAGAACACCATGCCCTGCCAGGATTAAAAAAGTTGTGCAACCGTTATAGAAAACACACAGTAATCCCAATTTAAAAATAGAATGATCGATGATCCAGCAACCCCTCTTCAGGAAAGAGACCAAAACTCCAGAGTGAAGTCCGGAAAGATACTTGCACCACACACCTGCTAGCCCTTGCTGGGTTCTCTCAACCCAGAAAGAGTCACAAGGCAGAGTCAGAAGAGAACTGAGCAAAAGCCTGGGAGGGGGCACCGAAAAGGGTTGCCAAAGGGGCTCTTGTGACCCTAAGTCACTACATCTCAGGCAAGTAGAGATCAACCCATGGTCTTGCAATCAGGAAAGTCTGACATAGGAGTTCAGGGTGGGTAGGAGGCGTTTTCTGTTTCTGTTGTTTTGGTTTGAGGTCTCGTTTTGTTTTGTTTTGTTTTGTTTTTCCTTTGAGACAGGGTCTCACTAGGTAGCCCAGGCTGGCCTTAAACTCACAGTGATCCTCCTGCCTCGGCCTACTGAATGCTGGGATTACAGGCATAGGAGGCATTTTCTTGCAAGCACCATTAACTATAACTTTGAACAGAACAAAGACATTCTTTAGAGAGGTATGAATATCTGATTTCTGGGGAAGACAACTTCGCCATCTAAGCAGCCTTTTGTACAGAGCCTCCTGGAGTCCCAGCCTTGGTCATCCTCGTGTTCTTCCCCCAGCCTGAACCCCACCTCAGCTGTCCATGTTTGGTGGTCCACATTCCTCTTTCTTGCCAACCAGGTCACGCCGAGGGATCCTCCCCTCCGGCAGGGCCCCGCTTGTCCTGGGGTTACTACTGGGAGACTCTTGTGGGTTGGGAAAACGACACCCAAAGCTTAGAAAATAGGGCCAATGCCCAACCATGCCAGTGGCTCCTGCTCTCTGGGTCTCTCCTTACCTCTTTGCCTCACGACCATTACTGCACTGTCAGCGTGGGGTGAAGGCAGGGACCTGTCATCCCAGCACTCTGGGAGGCTGAGTCAGGATGATCATAACTTTGAGCCCCATCGGAGCAACTTTGTGACTTAATGAGAACCTGTATCAGAATGGTAATAGCCATAAAAAGGGTTGTGGATGTCACTCAGTGAGAAAGCCCTGGGTTAATTCACAAGTACAAAAAAAATAATGCATTAATTAATATTTTTAAATTCTAATTTAAGGGCCAGGGATTTAGCTCAGTGGCGCTGTGCTTGCCTCACAAGCATAAGGTCCTGACTTTAATCCCTGGTACCAGAAAAAATAAAAATAAATTAAATTATAAATTAAAATTTAAAAAACAAATGAAATTCTGTCACATGCTGAAACAAATACTGCATGACTCCACTTACACGAGCTATCTATTCATTTATTTATTTTTTCACGGTACCGGGGATCGAACTCTGGCGCTTGCGCGACAGGTGGCAGAACCACTGAGCCAAATCCCTGGCCCCTTACATTAGCTATCTAAAGTAATCAAATTTAGCCAGGCATAGTGGCACTGGCCTACATCAGAAGACTGAGGCAGGAGGATCTCTGTGAATTCAAGGCCAGCCTGGGCTACATAGCAAAACCCTGTCTCAGAAACAAAACAAAAACAACAATAATAAAAAGCCACACAGAGAGAAAGTAGCACTCCAGGAGGCTGAAGCAGGAGGATCTTGCGTTCCAGTCCAACATGGGCAATTTAACACCTAATCCAAGACCCTGTCTCAAAAGAAAAAAATAAAAAGGGCTGGGGATATAGTTTAGTGCCAAGGACCTGGGTTCAATCCCCAGTACCAGAAAAGCAAAACCAAACCAAAACACAGACAGTAGAATAATGGTCATCGGGGCCTGGGAGAAGGAAGCAAAGGAAATTCTTGTTTAGTGAGTGTAGCGTTTCTGACGGGAGATGAAGTCCTGGAGATCTCTTTCACAATCATGCAGATACATTTACCACACTGAATTGTGTCTGACAATCGTTGCAAGTTAGGGCCAGGGATTTAGCTCAGTGGTTCTGCCGGCTGCCTTACAAGCACAAGGTCCTGAGTTTGATCCCCAGAACAAAAAAAAAAAAAAGAAAAGAAAATAGTTGCAAGTTCTCCCTTCAGCACATCCACTAAAACTGGAACCACATGGAGATGAGCGCGGCCCCTGGAGGGGTGACGTGAAAATTCACTACGCAGTCCATATTTTTACGTGTTTACAGTAGGATGTGACTCAGTAAAATGGATTTTTAAAAATTAAATAAATTTTAATTTAAGGAATTTCACATATAATTTCCTCAGTGCTCATCAAGGTCATTTTAATGAAGATCTCTGTCTCCAAGACAGCCCTTTTTAAAGGAGTTGGTAAAGTCAGGCATTTAGCTCAGTGATGCTGTCCTGAGTTCCATCCCCAGTATCAGAAAACATCAAATAAAAGAACTGCTGCTTAATCCAGCCATCCTGTCTGCCCAAGGTTCTTTTCTCTGCACTTGAATTATGGAAAACAATGACAACTTCAAATTGCCTGGGATCTTTTGTGGGGGGGGGCTGGGAATCGAACTCAGGACCTTGCACTCGTGAGGCAGGTGGTGCACCGCTGAGCTACATCCCCAGCCTTCCTGGGAGCTCATATCCAAATTTCTTCCAGCGATTTATACTTTAGGAGACTAGAATTTGAACTGTACACAGTATTTGTATTGTCACACATGATCTAGGTTCTGTATTGTTCCTTCATCCTTCATTTCTAGTATCAAAAGTCAACATTTTTCATTATTCTTGAGCAAAATGTTACAGGCCTCACTGTCACCACTGTAGTATGCTTACTGCGATGGAAGTGTGACCTGTGGCGCAATTTCAGCCACACTGACCAATTTTGGACCCCAACAACAGTGCCTGTTCTCATCTAGAATGAGGCTTTGTTCTTTTTTTAAAGAAAAGAAAAGAAACTTAGTTAGAATAACATGTGTAGCGGCCCAGGCCTGTGATCCCAGCATACTGAGAGGCTAAGACAGGAAGAATCCAAGTTCAAGCTCTGCCGGGGCAACTTGACAACTTAGCTAGACTCTAGCTAATTCTGGGATACTGCTCGGCCAGTATCTTTTTTCTTTTTTTCAGACAGAATCTTGCTAAATTGTCCAGGCTGTGCTCAAACTTGGGATCCCCCTGCTTCAGCTTCCTGGGTGTTGGGAATGAAGCTGCGGGCCGATTGGTGCTCCATCTGCTGCGATGGGAAAGTCTGGGGTCATTCTTCTGTTATCGCTAGGGCATCAACTGTGGAGAAAACCTAGAGTCCCACTTGGGCACGATAAGTCTGGGATGCCCCCGAGCTATCCTGACAGTGAGCATTTGACTCTGTGCCAGCCATCTTTCTCCGCCTGTGTACCTGGTGAACAGCTTCATTCCCGGGGACAGAGGAACGCACGCTACCCTGTAGGGCCGCCCTGTACAGGTGGGCGCAGCGAATTAACCGCCCAGGAGCACCCCCAGGAGGGCCCCCTGCGATCACGGAGTCACACCTGGGGGAAGAGCAGCTGCAAAACCCAGGACTCCGGAGTCAGAGGAGGAGGAGGGGACACCAGGGCCGGCAGCTTGCGTGGGGAGGAACAAGGAGCCCTGGAGAACTTGGAGGCATCCCTGGGGCTAAGCCGGTGTGGGAGGAAAGGTCGGAGTGGAGCAGGAGCGCGCGGAGAAGGTGGACAAAGAAACTGGACAGCTCCGCAGGCCAGGCTCCTGAGGCCAGGGACACAGCTCTTAAAAGATGGGAGCCGCAGCGGGCAGGGTGCACATCCCTGATCCCAGCGCTCTGGGAGGCTGAGGTAGGAAGACTACAAGTATGAGCCCAGCCTGGACAATTTAGTGACTTGGTGAGGCCCCATCTCAAGATAAAAACGTACAAAGGGCTGCGGATGTAGCTCAGGGAGGAGGAGGCCCGAGGTCTACAGTGCAAACACACAAAGGTAAATCACAGCGCGGTGTACTCAGGGCAGTGTGTGCTGGGACCCTGAGCTCAATCCCTCACCCAAAAGTAAATAAATCAGCAACCCAGTCCCTCCCAGTTTAAGCCTTCACTGGCTGGCTGTCATCAGTGTTAGGATAAACACGAAGCAGTGCCCCTGCTTAATGTACCCCCGGCTCCTGATCACTCTCTCCCTTTCTCTGCTCCAGGGTCCTCTGCTGCCTTCGTTGTGCAGTCTTGTGCACCCCCGGGCCTTGGTATATTCTCCTGCTGCCAGAGGACCCTCTGACCCATGCTCCTGTGCCTGCCTCCTTCTTATCCCGAAGGCTTTCCCCTTCCTCACACCCTGTCCTGACCACCTTATTTCCTATCGCATCCATAGGACACAGAACCTGTTCACTCAACTCACCAGTTTGTGCTTGTCTATTCATTCGTTTGTATATTTGTTCCTGGTTTGTACCTCCACTGGAAGGAAAAAAAATAGGGTTTTTTTATGGTTTTTGTGTTTTGTTTTGGTATGGTTTGGTTTGCTTTTTTTGAGACAGAGACTCACTATGTAGTTGAGTCTGACCTGGAACTCACTATGTAGCCCAGGCTGGTCTCAAGATCCTCCTGTCTCAGCCTTCTGACTGCTGGGATTACAAGTGTGTGCCCCCACACCTGGCTTTTGTATTCTTCAAGGAACAAGGCGGGGTCGTTTTATCCCCCCCTCTACCTTTCATACTTGGCATCAGCAGGTACTCAGTAAATATTTGTCAAATGGACGAATGACCATCGGTCAGCCTCAGACCTCAGTGTCCAAGCAGTGTGGCGGTGAGGATGTCTCCCCGCAGTCTGGACCTGCAGCGGCACTGTGTTCCAGAATCCACACCAGTCCCACCTCCGGGGAACATGTGTGGCTTCGAGGCTCTCAAGGTGGGCTGCCGCTCGGGGACATTTGGGGGACCAGATCTGGTTAGGAGGGGCCAGGAGGGGATCTGGTGGCGTCTCAGTGGCCCCTGGGGTCTGCACTGGCAGTGCCTGCCTGGGGTCTGGGACTCAGGAACACTGAGCCTGCCGGTGGCCGCCAGACCTCTTCGGACTTGCCAGACACAGGTGGCAGAGCCCGCCTGGCCCCACTGGGGCTCTCACTCTTCCCCGTAGGGCTTCACCTCAGAGACCCAGAAACCAGCCTTTCTGCCCTCAGGGCTGCAATGCGCACCCTGGGGCAATGAGCTGGAACCCAGGGCTCAGGAAGACAGAGAAAGTGGAAGAGGACGGAACGGTGAACCACAGACAGAGCAGGCGGCACAGCACCTGCTCCCAGCAGTCAGGGAAACACTGCAGGGGCAGAGCAGGGGTCCGGGAGCCACACGGGAGACAAAAGTCAAGGGATCTGTGAGGAACAGGACCGAGGAGGCTGAGGGCAGCAAGAGCCGCTCAGACAACAGAGGAGAAGGAATGGGGAGGGCAGGGAAGGGGAAGGGTGGGAATAAGCGAAGTGTGCACGAGCACGCACCGCCACTCCACATAACCAGTACACACGACTGAAACGAACGCACAAACAGGCATGGGGCGCACGTCTGTGATTCCAGCACACGGGGAGACTGAGGCAACAGCAGCAGAAGTTCCAGCCCCCAAGAGCCAGGGCGGAGGGGGGCGCGCACCTGTGATCCCAGCACTCAGGAGGCTGAGGCTAAAGGACTGTCTGTCCTAAGTTCAAGGCCAGCCTGGGCTACATAGTAAATTCAAAAATATTACTTCAAAAATAAAGAAAAAAGAAAGAGATGGTTCCAGTCCAACTCTAGGAACTCTGGGTTCAATCCTCAGTTTCAGAAGGGAGGAAGGAAGGGAGGAAGACAGAGAGACTAGGGATGTAAAGATGTAGTGGGAAGGCCCTGGATTCAATCCCTACTACTGAGCGGATGGGGAGAGGGGAGGAGAGAGGAGAGAGGGAGCAAGGAAAGGTGAGAACCAGGATATTTCAACCTGCAGTGCCAACAGAGACAGCAAAAGGAAAAAAAGATCAGGGGATGGAAGGCCATTCCTGACCTGCAGCTCAAACCCCTACTACTCATGTCACGGGCCCATTATTTTTCTGTTTTTATTTTTTATCTTGTTATAAAAATATTAGTTTTTTGAATACCAAAAAAAAGAAAGAATAGAGTAACTCTGAAGTCGGGTGCTGTCTTGCTTGCCTGTAATCCCAGCTGCTAAAGAGGATGAGGCATGGCCAGGGGTGGTGGCACGCGCCTGTGATCCCAGCATTTGGGAGGTTGAAGCAGGAAGATGGCCAGGAGTTCAAGGCCAGCCTGAGCTATACAATGAGTTCTAGGCCACCATAAACTACATAGCCAGACCTCGTCAAAAAAAAAAAAAAAAAAAAAAATGAGGCTGAGGCAGGAGGATTACAAGTTCAAGGGCAGCCTGGCTAAAACCTTGTTTCAAAATTAAAAAAAAGGGAAGTGTTGCTGTGGGTGTAGCTCAGTGGTAGAGCATGCCTGGGCTCAATCCCTGGAAGGTCAGCTTCCGCCTCCAGGACTCTACTGTCCCCTCCACCTGGCCAGCACCTCTTTAGCCTTCAGCTCTTCATGATGAGCCTCCATAGCCCCAGGGCCAGGGTGGGCTCCTTGGTTCTGCACTTTTATTTGCTTTTGCATATTCACTCAGTATGCAACTGCACATCACTCCAAGTCTGTCAGTCTGAGTGGAGCCGGGCTCACGTGCACCCCCAAGCCCCAGCACATAGTAGATACTCAATAAACGAAGAGTCCACAGATGCAGGTGGAGAACTGAATGGATCCTGCAGGCCTGCCTTTCTCACAGATTGCTGGGTTTCGATGCATGAAGACTGCCTGGGTGGTGGTGCCCTCCTGTAATCCCAGCGCTGTGGGAGGCTGGGGCAGGAGGATAGCAAGTCCAAACCCAGCCTGGGCAGTTTAGCAAAACCTTGCCTCAAAATAAAAAATAAAATGGCTGGGCTGAGGATTTAGCTCAGTGGTGCCACTGCCTGCCTTGCAGGCAAGATTGTGAGTTCGATCCCCAGTACCAATAAATAAACAAAGAAAAAGGACTAGGAGGCCAGAGATTTAGCTCAGTGGTTCCACCTGCCTGCCTCAAAAGCCCAAGGTCCTGAGTTCAATCCCCGGTAACCAAAAAAACAAAACAAAACAAAAAGGGCTTGGGGCTGAGGATGTAGCTCAGTGGCACCATGCCTACCCGGCAAATGCAAGGTCCTGAGTTCGATCCCCCGTACAAAAAAAAAAAAAAAAAAAAGAGCAAAAAACAATCAATGGTAAAAAGGGCTAAAAGGACACAGACTCCTACTGCAGAGCCATTCATTCCAAAAGAGGAAGTGTCCCCACCCTGCCCACCATAAAACTGCATGTGTGATGAGTATGTTTCCGGAGAACAAGAACTTGCACCCAAGTCTGGGGGCAGAACATAAAGTTGACAAGCATTGCTGTCAGCGGGGGCCATTGCAGGTTCTGAACATCGGTACCAGGGAGGAACCTGCAGACCCTTGCTGGAGGTGGCAGAGAGGGCCTGAGAGGTCCTGCCACCTGCACTCAGCTGTGTACCTGTGGTGGTCCCCAGGGGCCTCCCTAACCTGTTCTGAGTGAAACATACACTCAGCTAGGCAAGGGGAGCACACCTGTGAGCCCAGCACTCTGGAAGGCTGAGGCAGGAGGATCAAAAGTTTGAGGCCAGCCTGGGCAACTTAGTGAGAACTGGTCTCAAAAAAAAAAAGTAGGGTGCTGGGGATGTGGGTCCGTGGGAAGGAGCCAGGTTCAAGCCCTAGTACCACCAAAAGAGAGAGGAGAGAGAGGAAGAGGGGAGAGGGGGGAGGGGAGGGAGGGAAGAAGGGAGAAAAGAAAGAAAAACGGAGAAAGACAGGCTCAGCACAATCCATTGTTGTGTGGCTCATCTGTTTTGGTCAAGGCTGTGTCTAGGAAATGCCTGGCTTTCGGAGGAGGCTCCAGTCTCTGGCGACTGTTGTCACCGTGCAAGGTTCACTAGGTAACTGGTCCACGGGGATTACCACTCCTGCTGTGGAGCGGATTAAACCAGACAATGTACACGGAAATTCCTGGCCGTTAAATCATCTTAAGGTCCAAACTCTGGGCAGATGAGGAACCAGAACAGGAGGAGGCTGGGTGGGGAGTCACATGCGGGTCCCTGAAGACTGCCCCAGGCAGCCTCCCGGGTCTGCAGGGAACCCCCAAGGGCTGCTGCACAGCTGGCACCCCTGCCCCACCCGCCAGCTGCCAGGAATTTGCCCTGGTGACCTCCCAAGGCACACTCCTGTCGCCATGGCGACCGGCCTTGGAACAAGCAGCCTGATTGTCCCTGCTCAGCGGGGCAGGTGAAACCCCGGCCACGTGACCGATACTGGGCCAGGTGCAGTTATGGGACACCCACCGCCTCCCTCCCGCGTTAACCCATTCGACAGCGACACCTCGGGCTGCAGTGTCCCTGCCGCCGCAGGCCACACCCTTTGTGCCCTCCGTCCCCAACCAGCAGGGCGGGGATGAAGGTGGGGAGAGCACTGCACTGGGAGTTGATAGACCCAGGCCGGAGTGAGGAACGCGGGAGCCACAGTGCACTCTGCACCCCACACCCTGCTCAGCAGACCAGGGGCTCCACAGCCTCACCCCTTCCTTCCGCAGATGGAAACCATCCCCACCCGTCCAACAAGCCGGGGAGACCCTTCCCCAGAGCCTCAGCAGCGGCGACCCTCCCCTGCCCCGCCCACCCTGTCTCCAGAAGGTTCACACGCAAACTGCAACCAACCGGTTTTTCTGCTTGAGAGGCCAGCCTGCACCGCCAGGACGCAGCTCTGGGCCCAGGACCCTGAGTTTGTATCCTAACTGCTTTTGCCCTAGACCAGGGCCCTTAGGCTCCTGGGCAGAGGGTCAAAGATCACAGACCAGGCTCCGGAGGGCAGGAGCTGTTGGAAAGCACCTTTGATCTACTTGGACGTCAGCCCCCATCTCTTACTTGGCCCTCCCTCAGATCTAGAAAAAGGTCCTTGGAGGAAGGGTCCCTTCTGGGCTTCAGGCCAGCCTCACAGAGGGCTCAGGTGTCCCCTTCACTGCCTCATAACTGCTATCAACCGATAATCATACCCCCTGGCGGGCTTATCATCCCCAGGGACCTGAGATTACAACAAAGCACCTGCAGAGTCCCCACAGGCAAGCAGCTGGGAGTGGAACACTTCGGGCCTGCCCTAAAGGGGTGGTGAGCCGCCCAGCCTCCCCTGGGCTTCGCTGTGCATTCCTAACATCCCTAGTCCCGTCCTTGGGAGCCCCCAGCCTCAGGTGGGCACAGGGAAGGCTCCTGTCGGACCGCACAGCATGCTGACCCATGCTTTAACTGGGGTGGTTTCAAGGCAAGAAATCCAGAGGCCCCTCACACCCACCCTACCAATAGAATTAAGTTGCAAATTCGCTGATTCCCACACATCGTAGAGGCATAAAGAGATTTATTAGAAAATTTTACAGTAAGCACTCAAAGAAATAGAGCATGGGCCTTCAAGAAAGGCAGCTTGTGATCTGCAGCTGGGTATATTTATGGGGTCTGGTGGTGTCTTTAAAATGGGCTATCTGCATCAACCAACAAATGGATAAGAAGATGTGGGGGTTTTATACAATGGAGTACTACTCTGTCATAAAGAATGGTAAGCTTGGGCCAGGGATCTAGATCAGTGGTGCTGCCATCTGCCTGCATTGTTTCTCTGGTGAGAGAAACCAAAAGTGGAAATAAGGACCAAAATGTACAACAGACACTGGGAAATGGAAAGAAAATGATCAAATGAGAAGGGTAACAAGGGAGAGAGACGGAGAGGAAAGAAGGGACGAGAAGGTCAAAGGAAAAATGGGTCTCACTATGTAGTTGAGACAGACCTGGAACTCACTGTGTAGCCCAGGCTGGTCTTGAACTCACAGGGATCTTCCTGCCTCAGCCTCCCCAGTGCTGGGATTACAGGCACCACCACGCCTGTCGAAACAAATCTTTTGTATATAAGGAGGGGAAGAGGGGTCAAAGGGAGGGATCAAATGGGGAAAAAAAGCAGCAAGATATATCATGTACTGGTACAGATTCCCTATGATGAATGTTATTATGTATATCTAAAATGTACCAATAAATGTGGTAATAAAATAAAATTTGAATTTACATACAAAAAAAGGGGGCGCTATCTAGGACCTGGGCTTGGTGGTGCCTTCCTGTAATCCCAGCACTCAGGAGGCTGAGGCAGGAGGACTGCCTTAGTCAATTTCAGGCCAGCCTGAGCTACATATTGAGACCTTGTCTCAACCCCCCACAAAAAAAGATGGGTGATCTGGGATGTGTATTCCTACTGTCCGTCACATAACTAACCCATCTGGAGAGCTATGTCAATGCCAACCACTGACATGTGTTTGAAATGATTTGCTGCCCACTAAAGTTACCACTTCCTTGATGGTTTGAGACCTTGTCTCAACCCCCCACAAAAAAAGATGGGTGATCTGGGATGTGTATTCCTACTGTCCATCACATAACTAACCCATCTGGAGAGCTATGTCAATGCCAACCACTGACGTGTTTGAAATGATTTGCTGCCCACTAAAGTTACCACTTCCTTGATGGTCGAGGTACTGTATGCATATGGGAAGAAGTGCAATTTACAGGCCAACAGCACAGCCCAGAGCCCAAATTACACTCTTTAAGCATCTTAGGAATTTTTAAGTTTCCTGGAAAGGAAAAATGCTTAAGTAACTTTGTGTCCTGAGGCTGCAGCTTTTCTTAAAAGTACAATCTTAGAATTCCCATCTTGTCTCCTTTCTACCTATCTTTATTTCTTCTATTCTACCTTAGAAGGAACGCACAGCAAGGGAAGAATCACAGCCAGGCTTGGCAGCACATGCGTTCCCAGCATTCTGGGAAGAGGCAGGAGGATGCCAAGTCTGAGCCAAACCTAGACAATTTAGTGACGTGGTGAGACTCTGTAACAAAATAAACTTTACAATGGCTGGGGACATAACTCGGTCGGAAGTTTCTGGGTTCAGTCCTCAGCACTGCAAAAATAAAAGCTTTAAAGAGGCTTTAGAAGAGGGAAATGCCCCATTGACTGATGGCTGAAGAAAGAGCAGCTCTTGGGCTGGGATTTAGCTCAGTGGAGCCTCGCCTGTCTGGCAAGTGCACGGTCCTGAGTTCGATCCCCGGTACGGGGGAGTGGGGGCGCTGATCGGGGCCATGGGTTCAGTCCAGCAAATGAACTGAACAGTACAAACACCTGGCCTGCGGTGACTCCCCTCCGCAAGGGGACACCGACCCAGATTCCGACTGTCCACTCATCTGCGGTCTCTGCGCTTTGCCCCACCTGGGAAGGGTGGAGGTGGCCTCTGGAGCCGGTCCTCGGTCTCTCTAGAGGGGACCTCGGGGTGGGCCAGGCGCTGTGCTCCGTCGAGCCTAGCGGGCCTCCAGCTATGGAACATGGCACCACCACCAAGCTGGCGCCCCGACGGGAACAGCTCCTGGCGCCCGTCGTCCAGGCCGGCGGCACAGAAAAATGGCACCGGCCCAGGGCAGTGAACTAGGACTAAGAGCACGAAGTCCAGCCTCGCAACCACCCGCAGACCGCACCCTGGACCCAGAACCCCGAGGTGGCGCGAACCCTATTCCTGATCTTAGGGAGGAGAGAAGGCGCTCCGCCTAGGGCGTGGCCCGGAGCGGGACCTGCCCGGCGCCTGCGGGGTTACGCAATGGCGCAAGGGCAGGGCTGGGGACGCACTGTTTTCTGGGATTGGGTAAAACCACGTATTGAGGGCGGAGACTCTATGAGCAGGGGGCGGAGCTCCGAGCGGAAATGGGCGTGGCTCCTGGAGGCTCAGGAGGCGGAGAGTGTGCCGGAAGTTCCTGTGGGGGGGGTGCGTGGGACGCCGGTTGTCGGTATGCTCCGCTGGGCGCGTGCCTGCAGGGCAGGCTACAGGGCGTTCGGTCCTTGCAGGCCTAGCTCCTCGAGGATGCCCGAAGCACTGAGGAACAGTAGCGGCGGCGGCCGAGGGGACGCCGAGCCGAGGTCAGTCAAGGACGCCCGGAGAGCCGTGCGCCCCTCCCCAGCCCCCTTCTCCTTTGGGCCCCGCCCTCTCCTAGTGGCTGCTCACGCTCCTCCCCCGTTGAAAGCTCCGCCCATCCTGGACCCCTCCCTGCAGGCCGCTGCCGCTGTCCTACAAGCTTCTGGACGGGGAAGCAGCCCTCCCGGCCGTCGTCCTCCTGCATGGACTCTTCGGCAGTAAAACCAACTTCAGCTCCCTCGCCAAGGCCTTGGCCCAGCGTACTGGCCGGAGGGTGAGCTTCCGGGTGGGCGTGGCTGGCGGGCGGGTCCGGGACTGGCCGGATCCCGGGCGCCGGGCTGAGTTTAAAGTAACAACGCAGCACAATGAAAGGACAGCCCAGCATGGTGGTGGAGGACGCCTGTAATCCCAGCTGTCTGGGAAGCTGAGGAAGAAGGATCAAAAGTTTAAATCCAGCGATTTAGTGAGTTTCAAATAAAGTGTAAAAATGGGCTAGGGATGTAGCTCCGTTGGGAAGCCCCAAGGACAAAGACCTCAAAGGTGGACCTAGACCCATTCGTACTTACACGTGCTGCCGCCGCCGCCCATCCAGACCCTCGTTCCGTTATAGATCACCTGCCTGCTCCACACAGAGCTGCCCTCCACCAGCCACCTCCCCACGAAGGGACGACAGGGAGCTCACCACCTCTTAACTGTCACCTGTGCTCTCTGACTGTTGGAAGCCCCTGGACCCACCTTCTGGCCTTCTCTGGAGTTACCGCCTAAGCAGCCCAGACCTTCAGATACGTATGTGATCGTAGCCCTGGACTTTTCTCTGGCAGAGTGGTCGCAGCTTCTTCATTGGGGTCTTTTGGTCAGGGCCCGGCCCCCTTCCCCTCATCAGGATCTGACCCCAGACTCTTGTTTGTTTTTTGAGACAGGATCTCACTATGTAGTTGAGACTGACCTGGAACTCGCTGTGTAGCCCAGGCTGGCCTCAAGCACACAACGATCCTCCTGCCTCAATCTCCCAAGTGCTGGGATTACAGGCGTGCCCTGCAAAACCCCAGACTCTTTAGTCCTCTCCATTGCAGTCCCTACTAGGCCTGTGGCTCTGTCTATACCCAGAATGTGGGTGCCAGCACCACTCATGTCTCCCTCCTCCCCAGGTGCTGACTGTAGATGCTCGGAACCATGGCGACAGCCCCCACAGCCCAGATGTGAGCTACGAGGCCATGAGCCAGGACCTGCAGGACCTCCTGCTCCAGCTGGGCCTGGCACCCTGCGTCCTTGTCGGCCACAGCATGGGGGGAAAGACAGCCATGCTGTTATCCCTGCAGAGGGTGAGTGCATGGACTGGCACCTCCTGCCATCCAGTATAGACCCTGGGTGCCCAGCAGGTAGCCTGGGACTCCAGACTGTTGTGCTTGCCCTGTGCCCCGTCCCTAGTTCCGGTTCTCTCCCACAGCCCGAGCTGGTGGATCGTCTGATTGCTGTGGACATCAGCCCAGTGGCACATGCTTCCTTGTCGTATTTCTCTACCTATGTGGCAGCCATGAAGGCCATAGACATCCCACATGAGCTGCCCCGCTCCAGTGGCCGGAAACTGGCTGATGAGCAGCTCAGCCTCGTGGTCCAGGTGATTTGCCCACGGCTCCCCCACAGTTGGTGCATACTAGGACCTACCTGTCAGGGGAAGCAGAGTGCCGGCCCGGGCCTCCCAGGGAGACCCCCCTAACTGCTGCACCCCTTACACACACAGAACTTGGCTGTGCGGCAGTTCCTGCTCACCAACCTGGTGGAGGTCAATGGGCGCTTTGGGTGGAGGGTGAATCTGGACGCCTTGGCCCAGCACATGGACAAGATCCTGGGCTTCCCTCGGCGACAGGAATCCTACTCTGGGCCAACCCTCTTCCTCGTTGGTGGAGACTCTGGATTCGTGCAGTAAGTGGGCGAGGGCTGGGGATGGGCAGGGGCTGCCCGGGAACCCCAGGAATGCCATGTGCCCAGGCTCATGACTCCGTCTCTCCCCACTCTGTTCCTCTTGTGTCCTCGTCACCCACTGTCTCTTCTGGACAATGTCTCTGCGGGGGACAGGCCCAGCCACCACCCTGAGATGAAGCGGCTCTTCCCTCGGGCACAGATGCAGACTGTGCCTAACGCAGGCCACTGGGTCCATGCTGACCGCCCACAGGACTTCATGGATGCCGTGCAAGGCTTTTTGACCTAAGAGTTGCCCCTGCGGGAGGGGGCATGAGACCCAGGGCTTCATGTCCCTGTATCCAGTTCGGTCTCTCCACACAGAAGGACTCAGGCGGACACTGAGTGGGCACCAGGGTTCAGAGAAAGTCAGATCTACAGCTTTAATGAATAAAGATGGTGCCCCCAAAGTCCTGGGCGGAACTCATCACCACCATTGGACCCGCCGACCCTGAGGCAGTTGGGCCCGGCTCCTGACAGAACCAGCATCCCCGTGGGCACCCTGTGTACCCCTGGCCTCACTCTGCAGCTGACCTTGTACCAGCTTCGCCACCAACTGCTGCATGTCCTCCTGGGGTGGGAGAGCAGGGTCAGAGCTACTCCGGCCACGTCCCCACCCCTCCCAGGTCTGTCCAGCACACCACCCTACCTCCCAGGCCTCCACCTCCTGTCTCAGCCTCAGTTTCTCCTCCAGGACCTCCAGCAGCTGGGCTTCCACAGCTTGAAGCCTGGCCCTGCATGTGTCCAGCTCAGCCTCCACTGCTTGCTTCCTGCAGGCACAGGGATGGTAACCTGAGGCTCAGGGGCTGTGTAGTTTTCCTCCAGGGATGCCTGGCTTCTGCCCCCTTCCATTAGGCAGGGCCCTGTAGGTGCCCCCTCCCCCAGGCCACCCCGCTTCACCACCGGTGGCTCACTTGGCAAGGGCTTCATCCCGCTCCTGGAGCACCTGGTCCAGCGAGGGCTCTGGCTGCAGGGCCCCCAGTGCTCCAGCCACTGGGGATTCCGGGCTCTGTGGGGTGACGGGACAGAGGTCTGAAGCGTGCCTGAATGAGGTGCCCTGCCTTGGCCCTGGCCCTGATGCAGGTGTCAGGAGGGGGCGGCTGAAGCAGGCTGTCCCTGCCCTCTGTGCCCAGTCTGTGGTTGGTCAACCAGAAAGTACATGGTCAGGGGACGACTTGGCCATACTAAGGCGGTGGTAGGGGTGGCCACTGCCCACCGGAAGAGCTGGCAGAGTGGGCAGATGGACTGGACCCCCAGGGTGGGAGATCTCGCCAGCCCCCAGGGAAGGACAGGGTGAGTGGGTTCAGGACACTTACCCAAGTTCCTGGGTACGGAGGTGGCCTGGTTACTGGGACTCTGCCTGGTAGGGTGTGGCAACCCGAGGCTGTGGCCCTTTGCCCTCCCTTCCAGGCAGGACACTCCTCTGGAAGAGGCCCAATCCAGCAGCTCAGCTCAGGGCAATGAGCAGGAGTAAGCAAGTTAGTCCCTCTTTCCTGCTCCCGAGAGGGCTTTGCTGTACCTCCCTTCGCCCCCAGGGGGTGCTGCAGCTGGGTCTGTCGAGGTGACAAGGTCTGGCGCCCTGGTACCTTGAATGGCATCCACACAATGCTCTAACCCGGCCTCAGCAGAAAGCAGGAGGAAAAGTTTTTTGTTTTCAGTACTGGAATTGGACTTGGCCTTTTCACTGAGCTACGTGCTCAGTCCATTTTAGTATTTTGAGACAGTCTCAATGAATTACCCAGACCTTGGGCTTGCAGTCCTCCTGCCTCAGCCTCCTGAATAGCTGGAATTAAAGGTGTGTGCCTGGAAGGGGCAAACATTTACTCCTGACCAACAACTGAGATCTTGACTATCACTCCCCTACACTTTTTCCCCCCATTAAGTTTACTGGTAAATTTAAAGCAAACAATAGTTAAATTTATCGTTGGGATCTTACTCCTTTACATGATATGCCTTGGTTCTTATTTTTTCCCCATATCCCTGCCCTCCCTTCACCCTTCCCTATTTACAAAGACTTTGTTTCCATTTTTCACATTTTTTCTTTTCCCTTATTTCCCTTCCCCTTCCCCTTCCCACTTGGCCTTTAGCCATTTTCTTCCTATTTCACACTATCAATTGTACCATTTGAGCCTTATTTACACTTTCAGTTTTTCACACCAGAAAAACTATTAGGTATTTACTCCAGTGTGTCCTATTTATTTCACTTAAGTATATATCCTCAATATGCATCCATTTAGCTATAAGTGTCTAGTTACTCGTTTTTTATGGCTGAGTAGTACTCCATTTTGTAGAAAAACTACATCTTTATCCAGAGTTCAGTTGATGGGCACTTGGGTTGTTTCCAAGTTTTAGCTATTACAAACTGTGCTGCTATAAACATAGGTGTGCATATATCACCATGATATGATTCTTTTAATTCTTTTGGAAAGATACCCAGCAGGGGGATGGCTGGGTCAAATGGAACCTCCAGTCCCAGCTCTGAGGTGCCTCCATACTGATTTCCACAATGGTTGCACCAGTCTGCACTCCCACCAACAATGGAGAAGGGTTCCTTTCTCCCCACAACCCTGACAGCACTTATTGGCTGATTTCTTGATAGCAGCCATTCTTTCTGGGGTGAGGTGGAATCTCAGCGTTTTCATCTGCATCTCAAATGACCAGTGATGTTGAACACTTTTCATATATTTGCTGCTTTTACTTGTTTGAGAAATGCCTGTTCATTTCAGATGCCCATTTTTGGATTGGGTCTTTGTTTTGGGGGGGTTCTGGTTTTTTTTGTTTTTTAGTTCTTTATATATTCTAGGTAGTAGGTGGTAGTCTTTGAGGAGTAGCTGGTAAAATTATTTTCCCACATTGTAGATTTTGTCTTAGCTCTGTTGGTGATTTCTCTTGCACTGCAAAACTTTTTAATACAATGAGACTCCAGTTGTTGAATCTTTGTGCAAGTTCTCGTGTTGCTGAGGATTTGTTCATAAAGTCTTCTATGCCAGTGTCTTCAAGAGTTCCACCTAAATTACTTTCCAGTAAGTTTAGTGTTTCTGTTTTGATATTTAGACTTTTTTTCTTTTCTTTTTTTTTTTTTTTTTTGTACCAGGGATCGAATTCAGGTCCTTGTGCTTGCAAGGCAGGCACTGAAACCACTGAGCTAAATCCCCAGTGGATCTTTAATCCACTTGAATATTACTGTAGTGCGTGGTGAAAGGGATCTAGTTTTAATATTTGACAAGTTGAAATCCAGTTTTTCCAACACCATTTATATTTATTTTGGGGAGCGGGGTTGAGACAGGGTCTCACTATGTAGTTGAGACTGACCTGGAACTCACTGTGAAGGCCCGGCTGGTCTCAAACTCACAGCGATCCTCCTGCCTCAGCCTCCCAAGTGGTGGTATTACAGGTGTGCACCCCCACTCCCTGCTCAACCCCTTTTATTAAAGAGGCTGTCTTTCCTCCAGTGAGGATGGTTGGCTCCTTTGTCAAAGAAGAGGTAGCTAAGTACATATGGTGTTTCTACATTTTCTTAATCTGTTCCACTGATCCTCGAGTCTGTTTCTTTGCCAGTACCATGCTGTTTTTATCACAGTGGCTTTGTAGTATAGTTTCAAGTTAGGAATTGTGATACCCCCTGCCATTTTCTCTGTTGCCTAGAATGGTTTTTGCTATTCTAGGTCTCTTCTGGTTCCAAATGAATTTTTGGTTTGTTTTCTCAAGGTCTGTGAAATACACTGTTGGGATTTCCATTGGGATTGCACTGCATCAGTATAGCAGTTTTAGAAAGATGTCCATTTTCACTACGTTGATTCTTCCTACCCAGGAGCCATCCCTTGCACTGTTGCTCTTGATACCTCTGATGGATCCAGCATTCATTGCAGGGGTGGGTGCTGCAGCCTCCCTCTCAAACACTTGACTAGTGCACCAGTGGCCTGAAGTGTGTAGTAGAGACTTGACTCTGTTGGGAAGCCTTTCAGCAGTGCGTGTGTTACTGGGGATCAAATTCGGGTTCTCTACCACTGAGTTACCTCTGACCCCACTTTTTTTTTTTGTACCAGGGATTGAACTCGGGTCTTTGCACTTTCAAGGCAGGCCGTGGAACCACTGAGCTAAATCCCTGGCCAACCCACCTCTTTTGACCTGGGTGGGAGCCAATCCACGATCCTGCCTCAGCCTTCTAGAGGGCTGGGATTACAGGCGTGCACCCCCAAACAGTTCAGTGCTCCGTCTAGGAATCCCCTGGTTGGACCACAGCAGAAGAGGTAGGTGAGCTCTACCCCACACACGTCGTTTCTGCTGAGATGCATTCAGTTAAGAAACTGTCATTGCCCTGGCCCGAACAGGCCCTGATCTCTGGCCCTCTGTAGCCAGGGGTGAAGCACAGCTGTGGTGTAAGTCGGGGTTCCTTGGGCCCTTGACCCCCTCCAGGCTCAGGAGTCAGCTGGCAGGAGGCTTTACGTTTGCCAGGCATTTAACTCTTCCTTGGGAACAATTTCAAATTGTTCTTAAGTATCCCAAAAATAGCCTCCTGGGGTAAAAACAAGAATCTGTTATAATATCAAATAATGTACTGAGAAAAAAAAATAGAGGTACAAGATCCCAACAATGAATGTAACTGTACTGTATCCATAAAATGTACCAATAAACTCAATTAAAGCTGAAAAAAATAATAATGTACTGAGTTGCCACAGTCTCTGATCTCCCTTGATCTAGAATAGTTCACAGCCTTGAAGAATCAGGGAAGTTACTTTGTAGACGGCCCTTCCGCTCAGGCTAATGCGTTACACACTTGGGCACAAAGAGCCGGAATCGGTGCTGTTTATCTTACTCCTGGAGGTGATTGGAACCCTGGCTGGTGGTGGTAGAGTGGATCACTTGTTTAAGAAGCTTAGTAAGAGCCCAGTGTGGTGGGGCGCACCTGTAGTCCCAGCTACTCAGGAGGCTGAGGCAGGGGGTCAGGAGTTCAAGGCCAGCCTGGGAAATGTAGCAAGACCCTGTCTGGAATTACGATTGTACAGTGGCTGGGGATGTAGTTCAGTGCTAGAGCACTTCCCTGGCATGCACACGGCCCTGGTTCATTCACCAGCACTGGGAAACAAGTATGTTGGAAGCGCTGTGGAGAAAAATTGAGCAAGGAAGGGGAATGTGGAAAGAACAAGAGAGAGCTGTTCTGCACAATTCCGTGCTCACCCCGAGGAGGCTCCAGATACCATCCTAACTACTCTCAGGGCTTGAAGTAATGCTATCAATTCAGAGGTTCCAGAACACTTCGATGGGCCAGGAATGTAGCTTAGTGGTGCAGCCTCTGCCCAGGAAGCGTGCTGAGTCCCTGAGTTCAGTTTTCAGTACCAAAAATGCTCCAATGCCAGGCCTGATGGCACACACCTCCAGTCCCAGCACTTGCAGGCTGAGGAAAGAGGGTCGCCCAGAGCTCAAGGCTAGCTTGGGCTGCATAGTGAATTCACAGTCTGCCTGAATGCCTAAACCACACAGTAAGACTCTCTCTCAAAAAAAAAAAAAAAAAAAAAAAAAAAAGTGGGAAGGAGGCTTTGTTTACAGGTGAAAGTTTAAGAAAACGGGACCTGAAGGAGGTGCTAAGGAAGACATGGGTTTTATTATTTATTTGTGCACAGATTTTTTTGTTTTGTTTTTTTCTTCTGGTATCAGGGGTTGAAATCAGGGCCTTGCACTTGAGACACACCACTGAGCTACATCCCTGGCCTAGCTGCATCCCCGGCCCTTGTTTTTTGAGACATTGTCTTGCAATGTAGTTCATGTTGGCCTTGAGCTCGCTATGTAGCCCTGGCTGGCCTCAAACTTGTGATGATCCTCCTGCCTCAGCCTCCCAAGTGCTGGGATTATAGCACTTCACTACAAACACATGATTGTGACAGTGATATTGGAAAGCAGAAATGGAAGTGAAGAGCTTGAATAAACTATCAAAATCATGAGAGTGGAAAAGTATTGTTTCCACATAAAATTCTTCTTTTAAGATAAAGTGGTTTTAAATATTTAAATGCTCAATATTTTAAGTACTTATTTTAAGTAGGGAGTCAATTATTCATCTCCACCTGAAAGTTTGAATTAGGATATCAGGCAAAATTTCTTCTAATCTTATTAAGAAAAAGAAGACATAAATTTATATTTGGGTGTATAACGCATTTCACCCCAAAGTGCCATCGCGGACATCACATGGAGTAGTAGGGTCCCCTCCTTCACCCGCACACCCCACCGCCTTCCCTCCTGGAGGACCAGGGCCATCAGCCTCGGGTAGAGCTGCCAGTGGTGGTTTCAGACACTAGTGGGGCCAGGGAGCTACCCCTCGGGCCCCTGGGTGCTGGGCTCTGCAGCCAAAACAACTGGCATGCTGGTTGTGGTGACCAGCACTCGGTAGGCTGAGGCAGGAGGATCGCTTTGAGTTCGAGGCCAGCCTGAGCTGCATAGCAAGACCCTGTCTCAAAAAAGAAAGAAAGAAAAAAAAAGAGATAAATAACAGGAGAACCTTGAGTGCCCCCGCCCCTGGCCATGGTCCTTCCCATGCTCCACCCCCAACTATATCCCAGAATCTATCCTGTTCTTGAATCCTAGAAAGCTTCATCCTCCTCCAAAT